AGACAGCTCCGTAACCACTCTCTGATGCATCACAGAAGTGGTGCAACTGGCAGCTGATGACTTGCCCGAAACCTTTTGGTTTGATGCACCTGTCGACGCTGAACTGCTCCAAATTATTGATGCCTTTGACCCAGGCCTCCCATCTCCGTTGTTCGTTTTCTGTGATCGGTTCATCCCAGCCTGCTTGGCGGCGACACAAGTCTTGAAAGTTCTTAGCAGGTAGGACCACTGGACTAGCCAAACCCAGTGGGTCGAAAATCGAGCTGACCACACTCAGTATGCCACGCCGAGTCAGAGGCTTTTCCTTCATCTTTATCCTGTACCCCAGTTTGTCAGATTCAGCGTTCCAAGTAACCCCCAGGGCACGTTCTGTGGGCAGAACTTGTTCGTCAAGGTTTAAATCCTTCACTGTCTTGGCTCGCTCTTCCTGGGGTATCGATTCGATGACGATCCGGTTGTTGCACATCCATTTGGTCAACCTGAAGCCACCTCTGGACAGGAGAGCAGACAGCTGGTTGACGAGATGTATAGCCCTCTCACTATCATCGACAGACTTTAAGCAGTATCACGTAAAAGTTTTGGTGAACCGTGCTGATGGTCTCCTGGTCAAAGTCGTCTCATTGTCGTCGGCTGTGCGTTTGAGCGCATATATGGCACAGCTAGGGCTCCACACACCGCCGAATAAAGGACAGTCATTCTATAGGTGCAGGTTTTTGCGTCATGTCACCGTTAGGCCACCACAGGAAACGCAACGCATCCCTGTCCTGTGGCCTTACTTTTACCTGGTGGTACATGGCTTCCACGTCTGCCATCAGCGCCACCTCAGATTGCCGAAATCGCGACAAGACTCCAACCAACTTGTTTGTAAAATCTGGGCCTTGATAGACTTCAGAGTTGAGTGATTTTCCATTCAACTGAGCCGCGCAATCGAAAACTATTCGTAGTTTCTCCTTATTAGGATTGATGACGGCATGGTGCGGAATGTACCAGGTTTTTCCCGAGCTAGTGTTGATGCCCTCATCCTGTACCTTTTCCGCAAATCCTTTGACTAACAAGTCCTCCATCCCGTTACGATATCTATCGTAGAGATCAGAGTTCTTTGACAGTTTCTTACCAAGCAAGTCTAGGCGTCGACGAGCAACAAACAGGTTGTTTGCTAGATCGGGTGACGGCGATTTGAAAGGCACTGCGAGCTGATAGTGTCGTTGAAGTAGGCACCTTGAGGCAAAGTGCCCAGGTTTAAGGCAGTTATCACACAGTCTATTGTCCCTGCTGAATTTCAAACGTTCATCGGGATTTTTCGCCTTAAACCGACTGCATCCGAATAGTGTGTGCCCGGCATGACACATAGGACAGGTCACATTGGTGAACCTGTTAGACTGATTGTCCCTTGAGCTATACCTTCCGCTGTCGGTGCCGACTCCTACAACGGCGAAAGAACTTCCTTGTCTTACCTCGACTTCCTTGCGGCCATTGTTCCTAGCTTCAGAGACATACCCAAATACAGGGTCATTAGCTTCCCTGGCAGCCCTGACTACGAAATCCACCAAGCTGACAATGTCCGGATAATGACCAGTAGCCTCGTAGGCATTTACTGCCTGCCCGCGCCAACGTGTTTGTAAATGGAACGGCAATCGATCCACGATTTTTACAAGCCCTCTTTGCGTGTCGATTTCACCGATGCTGCCCATTGCACGAAGAGTTTCCATTCATAAATCATCAGCGAAGTCCTGGAGTCTGCGACGATCAGCAGCCTTGGGACCCTGCGTGATCCTTCTTATCCATGCTTCACCGATTTGGTAGCTGCTCCCAAAACGTTGCTTTAGTAGCTGTCGCGCTCTCGCATAACCTGCATTGGGTTCCATCACGGCACAACACTCTATGACACGCAGTGCCGATCCAGTGCAATACTGAAAAAGCCTATTCAGCTTAGCATTGGCGTCAACACACGTGTTGCCTACAGAATTGTCAAATGAGCTCATAAACCGATGAAAGGTCAGCGGATCTCCACCGAACTTAAACAATTCAGTCCTTGGGAGAGTCATCATGTCCACCAGTAACTCGTTGATGGTTGCCTGGCGCTGCATCGGCGCTTGAGAGTTCGATAGATGCCCAAAATCCTGACCGTTTACATGCGTGGGATGTGGCGGTTGATACCACGGCGTACTGTGAGGAAAGGTCCCGGTAGGTGTTTCGAATCGGACACCTGCATACGGGTTTTCCGGCATCCATGATGGACTTTCTGACGCACGGCCTGGCAGCGGATTAGTATCAGACGGGCGAGGCGTCCAACGTACGGGTTCAGCCGGTTTAGCACTGCCATAGGCTAGAGTGTCCTTTATCGCATTTAAATTGAGGCGTTCCAGGCGTAGAGCCTCACGTTCTAGCTCAAGCGCCTTCTTTTCCTTTACGATTTCCGCCTTCGCAAGAAATTCAGCCTTTCTCGTAACGGCCCTTTCACGTTTGGTATTGACACTTTTACTAGCCTGCGAGCTGCCACTTTCGGAGAGATTTGAGCCTGTAATGTCTACAGTCATGTAGGTCGAGTTGTCGTTTACCATTGTCACCCACTGTCTCACTTGGGTTGTTAGAGTGACAAAATTTTCTTCGAACTTTCTTATGTGTTCGTCAGCTCGTTGGCGGTCTTCGCCGTCAACAGCGCGTCCCTTGCCATCATGCACAGCACCCTGGACTTTTCAATTATCCTGTCGAATAGCACGTGGATGTCGTTTAATCTGCTGTTCACTAAATTGGGGTCCGCCCCACATTCCATTAAATCAATTATCTCGTTTGCCTTCCTGGTGTAGGCAGCCTTAAGTCCCCCAACTTCTAGCTTTAAACACCGATACGTTCGCGCTGGCTACACCTTCAGTGTCCAGCATGACGTTTTCCCTACGATGGCGAGCCTCTAGCAGCTCATCCATGGACAAATAGCTTATCAGCGTTGACAAGCACGACGTATTTCCCTACGATGGCGAGCCTCTAGCACGCTAAATCCATGACGATAGCTTATCAGCGTTAACAAGCACGACGTTTCTACTATGGCGAGCCTCTAGCAGCTCATCCATGACGATAGCTTATCAGCGTTGACAAGCACGACGTTTTCCTTACGATGGCGAGCCTCTAGCAGCTCATCCATGACAATAGCTTATCAGCGTTGACAAGTTTCTTAAACTTATGTGGACGCAATTTACATTTGATCGAATAATTTTACCAAGTCTTGTATACGCCTCTGACGAATTTATTATTATCGTGACAAACGATGACACTGGAGGGTTCACTGAAAAGACAACATTGAACCCACACATAAGTAAATGCAAAATAAAATACAACAATATTCATGACGATCAACTGGCATGTCAAATCACTCGAAGGCATGAATAGGCCTAACGAAAGTTAACCAGACACAAAGGATTTATACAATGTATGTGAGACACAGTGAAATATCTCAACTTGTCAAGATTAAACGTTCACACAGAACTGAATAAGTCACCACCATAATAATATGGTAGTTGTGAGAAGATAAACAGAAAATGCCCAATAATCTACACCAGCGCCACCTGGCAATAGAAATATATATATATATATACGAGAACCTAAAGTCGGTCACTTAACTGACGACACTCAATGTCGGACAACTGTCCGGCCGCGATTTTACTAGTAAGAGCAGCAGTAGGCCTAAAATTCCCTAATGAACAATATGCTTATTACAATACGCTGACTTTAAAGCAGACAATGCCATTGAACCAATAAAATTGACGAAGTGCACAACGCAGGCACCCAAGCCATACACTACAGTGTATGCATACATTAGAAACATGGCCGCAGCCACGAGATACAGCCGGCAGGGCTGGTACAGAAAAGAAACCGTTGAAACTTTAAATCTAATTGGCAAACCAGTTTAAACAACTACTTACAGAAACTTGGAGCGTTATGAAACACTGTGACTAAATTGCTCCACGCAGATCTGATGTATTTGTCAATAAATTGACGACTAGTGGCGAGTCCAAATATGCCGCATCGCTGCACACGACATCCTTTGTCTCCCTCTGCCCCCTGGTGTTTGGCGGGAAGTAATAAGCGCGAGCACGGACCCAAATATGGAACATGCAAAACCAGCGCCAGGCTAAACTAATCTGCCACAACAATGTATATTACCAATTAGAAATTTTATATGTTCAATGTTCTTCGGGGGTTCAGCCCCCTGGCTTGTGATTCTTCAAACGCTAACGCAGAATTTCAAATAACAACAACACTCCAAATGCAGTTAAAACTTATATTCTTTCACAAACACAATTTCGTTGGTTTGCAAAAACGATTTCCTATCTCGCACCCGCGCATCACTTCCTCCCTTCGCAACACGCCAACTAACGCCATCTCGCGTGAATAAAAACGATAACGATACCCCAGTGCGCACGCGTTCAACTGTGCGCACTGTTTCAACGTTGAATCTTGGTTGAAACTACGTCATGACGGAATACAACGTTCAATAAACAATCAACGTCGAAATGTACAACGTCTATTCAACGTTGAAACTGACGTTGTTTCAACGTTATATATGGGTCGAAATTAGGTTGCGTTTTTACCCACCAAATATACAACGTATATTCAACGTAATATTTCGCAAGTCAGAAATTTCGCGCTACACCTGTCCCCCTCCCTGCTCGCGCAGAAAACGCATCTGAGGGGGTCTAATTTCAAAAATTTTATGGGGGACGGCCCCCCAGACCCCCCCTTCGCGTGATCATCCCCCCCACTCCTCGGTACGGATTTACGCCCCTGATACCAGGTACAGTGACCTGAGCAGCGTTCCCCTCACCCGCAGCTATAACAGCGCAGATTGCGACACAGACCACTCCCTTGTTGCAAGCAAAGCGAGGTTGTCGCCTAAGAAGATTCACCACGCCAAAACCAAAGGCAGTCTACGCATTAACACCTGCTGCACAAATGACCCTGAAAGAATCCAAAAGTTCGTGGACCGTCGGAGTTTCCAAGAGTCAATGGAGACCCCCCCTTCAAGTGACGTCACCGTTCACTTCAAGTGGCTTCAACTTCGTGACACTATCTACAGGTTGACCTTACGGGAGGAAGGGGCGTAGCAATGCTGACTGGTATGAGGCTCACTGGCAAAAGATGCATCATGTAACGGAAACCAAAAGGAAGCACTGCTGGCCAACAAACAGAACCCCTGCTCCAACTCACGTGACGCCCTCAGAGTGGCCGCATATATTAACCGCATAGCTCACTCGATATTTGTCTATAAATCGAGTTTTTAACAAAACTATGCACTCGTGTGTGCGTGGTAGATTCTATTATTGTTAGCATTAATGCTTATTATTAAAATATATATATTAACCGCATAGCTCACTCGATATTTGTCGAGTTTTTAACAAAACTATGCACTCGTGTGTGAGTGGTAGCTGCTAGTATTACTAACTGCTAGTATTACTTCTTATAAATAAATACAAATATTATAGATCGCATCATAGTGGGTGAATATTGTTAAGGCGGGGGGTAAATATTGTGAAGGATGAGTGAATATTCTTAAGGGCGGGTAAATATTGTTAGGGGTAAATGTTTTTAGGGAGAGGTGAATATTGTTAAGGCGGGGGGTAAATATTGTGAAGGATGGGTAAATATTATTAAGGGCGGGTAAATATGGTTAGGGGTAAATATTTTTGGGGAAGGACGGGTGAATATTGTTAAGGCGGGGGGTAAATATTGTGAAGGATGGTGAATATTTTAAGGGCGGGTAAATATGGTTAGGGGTAAATGTTTTTAGGGA